GACACGAATGTTAACTAGCTTACTAGCATGCCAAAATATCGATAGCTGCATTCGTCACAAGTGGGAAAAATTTAAATCTGGATGGCACTTTACTCCAATTGGCTCATTCGCTTGCTTAAACTCAACGTTGATTCTGATTCCGCAGAACTGGGTTGGATGTGAAAAAGTATTTGTTGTTAACATTCTTTTTTCATTCAATTTTTCTAGTTACGAGTCCTTTTTTAAAGCTGATCGTTTTGTGTTCATTTTGTTTAGTTCTTTTTTCGTAAGAGGTTTAATGTTTAGTATAGAGCTTGGACAAAATTCGCACTGTGAGATAGGCAAGAAGTAAGGCATGTAGCAACATCAGCACGGCAAAGGGCACTACTTTAAAGGCAAGGAAGGGCAAAAATATTTTAAGTCAAGTGATAGCGATTGCTGTATGAGTCATACGATTTTTGAATCAAGCACGGGAAACGCCGGGCCATACTGCTAGTATATATATATATATATATATATATATATATATATATATATAATGTTACATTATGTACATAATCACTAGAGCATCTTGTTTCAAAGTTAAAAATCATTACCTTTTATCAGGTTTCGTTTCTACTAAAATATTTTATTCTGAAATACAGATACTATCTATCTATCTATCTATCTATCTATCTGTATCCGATGCTACAAAAATATTTTATTGCGAAATTTTTAATATTTTACTAGCATCGTGATTTCCCACCTGATGAAACGTTAATAATTTTTAAACATTGAAACAAGATGTGCAGTTTTGTAGTGGGTATGTGCATATTCTAATGTAACAGTGTATAATAAATAAAAATTTATTGCTCTGCTTTTGTATTGAGCCCTGTTTTATTTTAATGTTTTGAACGCTAAAAAAAATACTCTTCGTTCTTTTACATTTGTTATATATATATATATATATATATATATATATATATATATATATATATATATATATATACATATATATATATATATATATATATATATATATATATATATATATATATGTGTGTGTAAGCAAAAATGTAAATGGATATAGATCCGACAGAATGAAGAAAAAATTTGGAAAAACAAACCAAAAATCCTTAAATGCAATTATGTTGTTTAAAATGAATGAAATGTCGACGTCTGACGTTTCGGTTTAATAAACCTTCTTCAAGACAATATTCGTTAAAATACAATTCAGTTCAATTTGACAAAGACGATGGACATAAAAAACAAGTCTTATCCAAAACAGATAAATATATATATATATATATATATATATATATATATATATATATATTAATGTGTTCCTCTCTGCTCTCCGCTTCTCTCTGTTATTTTCACACCTTCTGTTTCTTACAACCGTTTATTTCATAACTTCACACATGTATTTATCTATCTCAGCTGGTTGGTGTCATGGATAGAGGCTCAGAATGAGGGTTTTCGCGAGCGGAGAATGGATGAAAGCAAACAACTCGCGCCTCATAACCAGCTGTTTCTGGTTGTTCGCCAGCCCAGGATGGTATTCCTTCTAGAGGAAGGAAAACCATGATTTTAAACGTCTGTAGCCCTGCAGAAAATGGCTATGAAAATAAGTCCAGAAAATCAGGGGTGGTACTCCGAAGCCGGTTGGCTGTCAAGACAGACAACATTCTGGCGACTCCATCCGCCAACTCAGCCCCAAATGTAATACACTTTATTTATTTGGATGTTGTCCGTACGAGCGAGAGTGGGATATGTAGCCTGAGAAGTCAACGAAATCCATATATCATTGGCTAGGTCTGCGCTCTTGAGAGGTTACTCCAGGCTCATTACCAAAGTTATGAATTTTGACCAAACAAGGTGCTAACTTTATTTCGTGAGATAAACCGATTTCTAAACTTAGAAAAAATAATGAATCCATTTCTTCATCCCTAGGTGTGAGCTAAGTAGATGTTGTATTTGGAAAAAAAAAAAACTTTTCATCTCAAAATTGTAAATATCAATGCAACATAAACTCCCAATTATGATTCAACTTTAAACAAACCGCAAAGACGGAAAAGAGAAATCAGAGCAAAACAAATATCTATCTATCTATCTATTTCAGTCTGTTTATCTCAGTTTTTCTATCTATCTATCTATCTATCTATCTATCTATCTATCTATCTATCTATCTATCTATCTATCTCTGTTTATCTCAGTTTTTCCATCTATCTGTCTGAATCTGTTTATCTCAGTTTTTCTATCCATCTATCTGTCTGAATCTATTTATCTCATCTTTATCTATCTCAGTCTGTTTATCTATCTATCTATCTATCTATCTATCTATCTATCTATCTATCTATCTGTTTATTTCAATCTCTGCCTGACAGCCAACAAGCAACAATTCTCAAACTTTCGCATCTCTGTCTCCATTGATACATTCGTATCCAGTCAGGCAGATCGGTTTTTGGTACACAACATTAATCACTGTCACAGATTTGGGACAGGACCTATTCAGCCACAAAACGCCCCCCCACATCCATAGTAACAACGAACAAGTGTATGTACATCCACCAACACACATATAGAGAAACACGCCTTCTATACACACACACGCGCACACACATACACACACACAAACACAGGCCACATAATCCATCATGTAAGCTTGTTAATACACAAACTTGAGCACCTGGGCGCCGTGCCTTGGGATACGTGTTGGTCTCGCCAGCCCTTCAATTGTCAGTTCGATATTCGTCGGGTGCTCATTAAATGTATCATTGTGTAATACTTGCTTTTCGAAATATGTCAGCCTTAATGAATGCACGCATGAAATCTATTTGACTTTTTGATACTTACCTATACAGATATATATTCTGCAACACACACACACACACACACACACACACACACACACACACACACACACACACACACACACACACACACACACACACTTACTTCGTGTATGCGTCACATCTTTTTAGTCCGTAGGCAGTCATGACTCTCAACAACATCCTATCCTTTTTAGCGCTTGGAAATATTTGTTTTTCTTACTCTCCTTTCCCCTCACTGTTGGCTTACGGTTATATCACATTGAAACAACGGTTCTCGAAAAATCAACGAAATTAAGCAACGTCAAGCTTGGTCAGTAACTAGGTGGATGTCCGCTATGGAACACTATGTACCTTATTATTTTTGTAGTGTAATGGATAACGGCTTGGAATTGAAAATCGAAAAGCCGAGATCGAATTCCAGTCGGGTTCCTTACATTCACTTCGGCGCAAAGACCCATCAGGAAAAATATGAATTCACCTATTCACACCCTACCTATGGGCTAATTAGTAGGACTTTATCAGTAAGTATTTATTATCTCCCCACAAATACTTAGAATCCAAAGATATATTTTATAGCTTTAAATAACATGCAAAAGGTCGATAAACCGTAAAATACAAGTCAGCTAAGCAATAGCACGCTCTGTTCTGTCATCCATTTACACAACCTTCTTAAGTAGATTAATGGCCGATTGCTTCATTTAATTTTGCTTTCAGTATGGCTGGAAAGCATTTTTATGTTTATACATATCTTATAGATACAAATATTTAAGTAAAAGCTCTGTTTCCAATAAATAGTATTAAACAACATTTACCAGATTGAATATCCGAGAAACTATCATAGGAAATATGCGTCCTCCAAAAGTTTATGTTTATTTTTATAAACATAAAATGTCTTAAAAATAATTGTCGGAATTTGTCCATTTCATAATGTGTGACATCATTTGTTTATATTTGGATACGCATCGAGCAGATATGAGTGTACGTGAGAAAATCATAGAAAATTGTAGTTTAAAAACAGTAAAATCGACTTTGCTAAATGAAACTCTCCCCTGTGGCGAAATCGGTAAAAGCACGTCAGGCTATATGACGGTTCTGTATAGGATACAGGTTCGATTTCTGTCGGACGACGCATACTTTCTATGAAAATTTATCAGACTTTCAGGCCGGTAAATGTTGTTTAATACTGTTTTTTTTATAAACAGAGCATTGCTTAAATATTTGTATCTATAAAAAGAATGTATAAACATAAAAATGCCTTAAAATTCAAAGATATAGAGAGAGAACATCTCACATACACACACATATATTGACAACCTTATAGGAGTTCGATTTGTTTCTAATTTTCATCAGTGACCTTCCCGATGTCATCAGCTGTCAACTCGTTATCGATGCTGATCATAACAAGTATTTATGGTTATCTTAATGGAAAGTCTGATTGTTTCGTTATGTTCAAATTGGCACTTGATTTTACAAATAACCTACAATCTGTTGTCAACTGGGGCAAGAAACGGCCTGTCAGTTTTAACGCCTGCAAAACGAAACTGTTCTTTTCTAATCGTCTTGCCGAACCATTTTAGACTTTCACCCGCTTGCCTGATGCTAACCTCCAGGTGAGTGACTCATTGCGCCTTGTCGGACCAACGTTTTCCGCTGACATGAAGTGGTAACAAAATATTGAATCATTTGCTAGGTTTGCTCCTAGGAAAGTTAGTTTACAATGTTGTGTTTCATAGTTTTTCTCTTATATTAAACATTTATAAGTCTACTTCTCGTCCATACATTAAATATTGCTGTCAGGTCTGTTCTGATGCCTCTTTTTTGTTTATTTAGAAATTCTTGATAAGATCAAATGGTCTGTAATGTTATTAGTCTTGACCTGGCATCTCGGCATCAATCACATCCCCACCCCCGTAACGTTGCTTCCTTCGCTATAAATACTTTGATACAACGGCTTTGATTTGATTTTTACAGTCTAATATTTTGGTCATATTGGTTTGTTAATTTGTTTATTATTTATTTATTTGGCTTCATTGAATATTTTAATTTATTTATTCCATTTCATCTATTCTAACAGGTGTGATTTGGTAATTTGTTTGGGTTAATTTATTTTCCTTATGTTATTGTTATTTTGGTTATTTATTTATTTTATTTTATCTTATTTTTTCAGTTTTCAATTTTTAAGTAACGTAGTAAAAAAATGTTTTCATGTCTGCATTTTGAGATGAGCTCAGATCGTTTATTTAATAATTTATTCTTGTCTGAGAAGGCAATGATAGCTATTTCTTCCTCCAAGCAAAGTTTTCAAGTTTTGGATTGGTTGTTGTAGTCTGATGATCTTTTCCTTATTTTCCAAGATATTTTTGGTGTGATGTGCGTTTTTGTTTTTAATTTCCTTAGAAAGCATTATGCTGTTCGCGTATTTACTGTTTGTGAAAGATGTTTTTTTTTTTTTTAGCGGCTAAGGTTCATCATTTTGTAGCTGAAATTGTTTCATGCAACCGCAAGTTCTATCCTAACAGTTTCTCTCTTCGCAGCACTTTGTTCGTGGAAATCTATTCCAGTTTCATGCTTTTCCAGTCAATTTTGTACTTCAAAAATTTAAATGCAATGTCAATCGTTTTCTTCTGGCTTTTAATTTCTGTACTTATATTGTTCTCTCTCCTTAATAATGTTTTTCTTTTTCTCCTTTTTCTTTCTCACTTCCTAACGCTTTCCCTTTTAGTGGCTTTATTGCCTTACTAGGGCTGAAATAATTAAAAAGAAATTTTGAAAACTTTACTCAACTTTGAAGAGAAATAAATTCACTTAATTTCGACAGCAGTTCCATTAAGCTAACATCTAAAACCTGTTTTGAAGGATTGAATAACTTGCCAATCAACCTAAGTAATTTTGAAAATAAATAAAAATACAACATATTGATATCAGTTTCATTATACTTTCTGGTTGAAAACACGTTTTACAGGATTGGAGACCTTACTCATCAATCAACCCTTGTAATTATGAAGATAACTTTACGCCTATTTGATATCCTGTCTCGTCTAAAGCATGTTTTAGACGATTGGAAACTTTACTTATCCATCAAACATTTTAATTTTAAAGAGAAAAAAACCCAACTAAACTCCGTTTAGATACAAGTATCATTATCCTATCTGCTATAAAACTTTCTTTATAATTTTGGAGACCTTACTTATCAATCAACCATTGTAACTTTGAAAAGAAGTAAATTGTCTTATTTTGAAACCAGTGTCATTATTCTGTTAAGATTTAAACTTGTTTTATAAATTAAAGACCATGCCGAGCACGACATCGTACATAGGCAAACGCGTGCTCGCGTCTGTCTTTGCACTTATATTCATATATCTAAGATATATTTGGCTAGTATTTATGGTTTTCAGATAATTGTGTAGCGTAAATTTGTAACTGACATGGTTTCCGTGACACGAAACAGAAAATCAGAATTTTACATATCAAGCACTAACAGCCAAATTAAATCTTTTTTCAGTCCATTTCACCCCAAGAAAGACAATAACGCCACTAAGACGCAAGAGGTTACTAAGTGTTAGAGAATATGAGAAAGAAAATAAAAAAAACACACTATTAAACAGAACAAAACAATAAAAGAAAAAGAATTAGGAAGACAGAAGGTAACGATTGTTATTGCATTTAAATTTTTGAAGATCAAGGTTGACTGGGAAGGAAGAACATGAAAGAGAGTTCCACAAGCAACAAATGTGATAGAAGAAACTGTTAGCATAGAACTTGCAGTTACATCTCGCCATTTCAAATGTAAAATGATGAGACCTTGCCGCCAATCTAGTACTGCGCTTAAATTCATAAAGTCAAGGTAGAATAGAGGAAAACTTAGAACAATTACCATGAAAGTATCTATAGAAAAGGCACAGGAAAGCCACGTTACGGCGGTGGGAAATTGACTGGAGCCGAGATGCTAAGTCAGGACCAATAATATTGCAGATTCTTCTTTGGATTTTATCAAGAATCTCTAAATTTATAGCAGGAGGACCAGATCAGATACGACAGCAATATGCCGTCAAAAGTAAACTGTCGCATCCTTTATGCGTGTACGTGTGGGCTTGATAGTATGGATGTTTATGCAGTAAAAAAAAAAAAAAAGTTTATGTGCGTGTGAGTGCGCCCGCGGCCGCGCGTCTTTACGAAGCAGGTGAGGTAAGTAAAATTATTCGTTTCATTCAAGGCTGAACACCTGTAAAACTTTTTCCCTCGATTTTTTCATTAGTTTTATTTATTTTCTTCTCATTTATTTACTATTGGGTTTTTGTCGTTCATTTAATGGCGACAGAGAAAATATGATACCATCCAACCTTGCAAAAATTGTTGGTTTCTTATTTCGACCAGTCTTTCAGAAATTACTGAAAAAAATCCTTCTCATTGAATTACGAGGAAAAAGAAAAAAAAGCGTAAGAATTGCAGTTGCTAAAAAATCCACGAATAAAAATGATTTGTTATTATTATTATTATTATTATTATTATTATTATTATTATTATCTTCGCACAAAAGGTACGTAGAGAATACGGGTAGGGGTCATGGGACAGCTAGCCTCGTCAAATATCTTGAGTTTTCCTCAGTTTTCGTAACAATCTCAGCCGTATTCTGTTCGTCATCGCCTACGATTATTATTATTATTATTACTAGTAGTAGGAGGAGGAGGAAGAGGAGTAGTAAAAGTAG